TACTGTACTGCGTATTATCGCTTTTCACCGAACTACCTTCTTCCCCAAGCTTCTCGGTCTCGATTGACTGCGCTTCAACATTCTCTTTCATTTTCAGCTTCTCTTTGAGTCGAGCCACCTGTTTGAATGTTCCATCAGAATTTTGAGCAAAGTCTCTACAAAATTTGCTTTGTTAATCTAAATACAAATGTACCTTGTTCTTAAGGGTTTCATTTTGTAGAAAGAGAATGTCCCAATCAGTCTTGAGCTTAGCATAGCTATCTTTAAGAGAGTCACAGTCGTGCTCCAGCTGTTTGGTCTTGAACCTAGCCCTCCTGTTTTGGAACCAGACAGCTACTTGGCTCGGCTGCAGCCCTAGCTTCTCGGCAAGCCAGAGTTTCCTGTCTGGTTCGAGTCTTTTCTCCTGTTCGAAACTCTCCTCTAGTAAACGCAATTGGATTGGTGTTAGCTTCCGTTTCTTGGTCATCTCACGAACTTTGTAGCTCTCACAGACGTCTTCTTCGTCCATGGTGTTAGTCTCTGTGTTGCTCATTGAGCTAGATCCTAAATTAAGGAGAATGTGTAACCAACAAAAGAATCAGGAATTCGAAACCAATGGTAAGAAGAGAATTTGATCTTCAAAGTCTACTATTTTTGTTTATCAAACTCTTTTACACTGAAAGGACATTCTTTTAATCTGAGTTGCTACAGTTCTAGAATGAGATGCATTTAAGAAAACGAAAACCAGAGCGTTGGAACAGAGAAATACCATAAAAAGCAGAGTGAGAGCTCTGAGGAAAGCAAGAAGAAGGAAACTTATGGCTATGGCTTTGGTTCTGGTTCTGAAACCAAAGGGAAACTTCTGAATCAATGTTTGAGTTTTCCATTTGTAACTGTTTTAAATGAAAATGCTGAGTCAATTGCTGAAAATGTTGAGTCTCTTAATAAGAGTAACTTCTTATAAAGACAAAAATTATAGAATGACGAAAGATAAAAGTTACACAAGAGAAAGAAAAAACGATTCCTTTTGCTGGTTTAAGTGTTTGGTAAGGAGAGGGAGACAAAGGTGCTGTTTTGCCATAAGAGGGATTATATTTGTGGTTATAATTACATGAGTCCTTTTCTTCTTTCTCAAATTAGCTGAGTACAAGCAAGGCCATTGATTTACATTTCTAATCGATAGATTAGTCCCTTTACAAAACAAGTGAAAAATAGTATTACAAAATCAAATGCAACTTGTTATCTACTATGTCCGCATGAAATTATAAGTGGGTATTCGAAAGCAAAATGTTTGAAAATGTGGAACCGATTTTTAAGCATTATAGAATACAACTTAGGAACATCGGTTAATGAAAAAAGTTGTCGTTGAGCCAAAAAATATATAAAATAATTACTCTTTCTCAGGCCGGCCCTAGATCATCTAACACTTAAAGCAAATAAAAAAAATGATGCCTTTTACTCATTTTGTTTTGGTATAACAAAAGAAATCTGAAATTAAAATTGTGTTAAACATCATTGTAACTTAAAAAAAACGTATGAAAACATCGACACATTACTCATT